CTCCATACAAGAGCACAGATTTTACATTTGAGTTGAAAATTTTCATTTTTGTGCTTCTTGAAATGTTCTTGGCACTCCATACTTTCCCTAGAATGTTAAAGGTGACTCTGGCTTTGTTGATTCTTGATTTAACATCAGCATCTGTACCCCCTTCTATGTTGACAATGCCTAGATAAGTAAACTCCTCTAGTTCTTCTATGTTGGTGTCGTTCATATTTATTGGTTGTTTACTTTTGGTATTGATCTTCATTACTTTTGTCTTTTCTTCGTTTGGTTTGAGTCCGAGCTTTATAGATGTTGAAGAGAGAAGGGATGTTTTTTCTTGCATTTGTTGTTGTGTACTGGATATATGCAAAATCCAAGTCTTCTAGTTGTTGCCACATCATCCATTGGATTCCATTTCTTTTCCCTTCAGTTGCTTCTTTCATGATGTAGTCTATTGCCAAGAGGAAAAGAAACGGTGATAGCAGGCAGCCTTGTTTTACTCCAGTTTTGGCATCAAATCTCTCGCTTAGCTTGCCTTCATGTATAACTCTGTATTTCATGTTTTTATAGGAGTTCCTGATGATGTTTATGAATGTTAGTGGTATTCCATAATGATCCATGATGTTCCAAAGGGTTTCTCCCTCCAAGCTGTCAAATTCCTTCTCAAAATCTACAAAGTTAATCAGTAGGGAGGTGTTCCACTCTAAGAACTGTTCTATTATTATGCGTAGTGTGTTTCTGGTCTATGCATGATCGGTCTTTCCTAAATCCTGCTTGCTGTTCTCGTAATTTTTCATCTTCAGCCTTGAGAAGTCATGTAAGGAGGATTCTATTTAGTACCTTTGCTGCCATTGATAGTAATGCGATTCCTCTGTAATTTTTGCATTCTTTAAGGTTGCCTTTCTTTGGTAGTTTGATTAGATGGCCTATTTAGATGTTCTTTAAAATATCGGCCCATCTAGCTATCTGTTCTTCTATAGTGGTAAGGACCTTCCCATTTTTATACGACCGCAAAAATTAAAAATTTTTTGGTCGTATATTGGTATGACGTTGGCGTCGTCGTCGTCATCGTCCGGCGTCGTCCGAAGACACATTGGTTTTCGCACTCTAACTTTAGTTTAAGTGAATGGATCTCCATGAAATTTCACCATAAGGTTCAATACCACAAAAGGAAGGTTGGGATTGATTTTGGGGGTTATGGTACCAACAGTTAAGGAATTAGGGGCCAAAAAGGGGCCAAAAATAAGCATTTTTGTAACTTTCAGACAATAACTTGTGTGTAAGTGTATGGATCTCTCTGACATTGTACCACAAGGTTCCATATCACAAAGGGAAGGCTGTAATTGATTTTGGGGGTAATTGTCTCAAAATTTTAGGAATTAGGGGCCAAAAAAGGGGCAAAAAACAAGCATTTTTCTAGTTTCATGACAATAACTTGTGTGTAAGTGTTTGGATATTTCTGAAATTGTACTACAAGGTTCCATATCACAAAGGGAAAGCTGGAATTGAGTTTGGGGGTAATTGCCCGAAACGTTTAGGAATTGGGGGCCAAAAAGGGGCCAAAAATAAGCATTTTTCTAGTTTCAAGACAATAACTTGTGTTCAAGTGTATGGATCTCTCTGAAATTGTACTGCAAGGTACCATACCACAAAGGGAAGGCTGGGATTGAGTTTGGGGGTGATGAATCATAAGGGGGTTCAAAAAATTGGGGGGGGGGGTTTTTTTCTTTTCTTTTTTTCCTTTTTTTTTTCTTTTAAAATTTTCCATTTTAAGTTGGTTATTTCTGATTTATATTTAAAAGCAAATAATAATGATATGGTAGGAGATACACACCAAACAGGATGTGTAAATTATTATATAATAAGTATTGTGCAATAGCAAGAAATTTTCAATTGCACAGTATTGCACAATAGCAAGAAATCTTCAATTGCACAGTATTGCGCAATAGCAAGAAATCTTCAATTTAACAGTATTGCGCAATAGCAAGAAATATCCAATAGCACAATATTGCGCAATAGCAAGAAATTGTCAATTGTACAGTATTGCACAATAGCAAGAAATATTCAATTGCACAGTATTGTGCAAAAGAAGATACTTCGTATAAATTGCTTATTTCTTGATCAATTTCAATGGGGTTTTATTCTTGAATTCTTGGGGTTCTTTAATATGCTGAATCTAACCGTGTATTAAGTTTTTGGATTTTGGGCCCCGTTTTTAAATTGGTCCACATTGAGGTCCAAAGGGTCCAAAATTAAACTTTGTTTGATTTCATCAAAAATTGAATTATTGGGGTTCTTTGATATGCCGAATCTAACCGTGTATTTAGATTTTTAATTTTGGGTCCCGTTTTTTAAATTTGTCTACATTAAGGTCCAAAGGGTCCAAAATTAAACTTAGTTTGATTTTAACAAAAATTGAATTCTTAGGGTTCTTTGATATGCTGAATCTAAACATGTGTTTAGATTTTTGATTATGGGCCCAGTTTTCAAGTTGGTCCAAGTTGGGGTCCAAAATTAAACTTTGTTTGATTTCAACAAAAATTGAATATATGGGGTTCTTTGATATGCTGAATCTAAACATGTATTTAGATTTTAGATTTTTGGCCCAGTTTTCAAGTTGGTCCAAATTGGGGTCCAAAATTAAACTTTGTTTTATTTCAACAAAAATTGAATATATGGGGTTCTTTGATATGCTGAATCTTACCATGTATTTAGATTTTTTATTTGTGGGCCCGCTATCAAATTGGTTCATATTGAGGTCAAAAGGGTCCAAAATTAAACTTTGTTTGATTTCATCAAAAATTGAATTATTGGGGTTCTTTGATATGCCAAATCTAACCGTGTATTTAGATTTTTAATTTTGGGTCCTGTTTTTTAAATTGGTCTACATTAAGGTCCAAAGGGTCCAAAATTAAACTTAGTTTGATTTTAACAAAAATTGATTTTTTGGGGTTCTTTGATATGCTGAATCTAAACATGTGTTTAGATTTTTGATTATGGGACCAGTTTTCAAGTTTGTCCAAGTTGGGGTCCAAAATTAAACTTTGTTTGATTTCAACAAAAATTGAATATATGGGGTTCTTTGATATGCTGAATCTAAACATGTATTTAGATTTTAGATTTTTGGCCGTGTTTTCAAGATGGTCCAAATTGGGGTCCAAAATTAAACTTTGTTTGATTTCTACAAAAATTGAATATATGGGGTTCTTTGATATGCTGAATCTTACCATGTATTTAGATTTTTTATTTGTGGGCCCGCTATCAAATTGGTTCATATTGAGGTCAAAAGGGTCCAAAATTAAACTTTGTTTGATTTCATCAAAAATTGAATTATTGGGGTTCTTTGATATGCCAAATCTAACTGTGTTTTTAGATTTTTAATTTAGGGTCCCGTTTTTTAAATTTGTCTACATTAAGGTCCAAAGGGTCCAAAATTAAACTTAGTTTGATTTTAACAAAAATTGAATTCTTCGGGTACTTTGATATGCTGAATCTAAACATGTGTTTAGATTTTTGATTATGGGACCAGTTTTCAAGTTTGTCCAAGTTGGGGTCCAAAATTAAACTTTGTTTGATTTCAACAAAAATTGAATATATGGGGTTCTTTGATATGCTGAATCTAACCATGTATTTTGATTTTGGACATTGGACCATAATAGGTAAACTAAAAAAAATTGAAGTTCTTAGACCACATTCTTTCTGTGTCAGAAACCTATGCTGTGTCAAATATTTAATCACAATCCAAATTCAGAGCTGTATCAAGCTTGAATGTTGTGTCCATACTTGCCCCAACTGTTCAGGGTTCGACCTCTGCGGTCGTATCAAGCTGCGCCCAGCGAAGCATTTTATTGTCTTTAACTTGTTGACCTGTTTGTCTAAATTTGCCAGCAAGTTTTTTGGTGGTATCGTATAGATCTTTCATGTTTCTCATGTTTGCAGCTTCTTCCGCTTGTGAGGCAAGATTTTCAATATATGCTCTCCTATCTTTTCTTACACATTGTCTAACTTCCCTGTGAGTTTTGTTGTATTCAGTTTGAGCATCAGTTTTTATACGACCGCAAAAAAATTTTGTGGTCGTATATTGGTATGACATTGGCGTCGTCGTCGCCGTCCGAAGACACATTGGTTTTCGCACTCTAACTTTAGTTTAAGTGAATGGATCTTTTTGAAATTTTACCATAAGGTTAAATACCACAAAAGGAAGGTTGGGATTGATTTTGGGGGTTATGGTACCAACAGTTAAGGAATTACGGGCCAAAAAGGGGCCAAAAATAAGCATTTTCTAGTTTCCAGACAATAACTGTGGAACGGTGTATGAATCTCTCTGAAATTATACTACAAGTTTCCATACCACAAAGGGATAGTTAGGATTTGCTTTGGGGGGTTATGGCTCAAACCGTTTAGGTATTAGGGGCAAAAAAGGGGGGAAAAACAAGGTTGTCCTGGTTAATGGACAAATACTTTAGTACAAAACATAATTTAAAGCAGTGTAAGGGAGATAAATCAAATACATCATTGAAATTATCTCCCTTACACTGCTTTTAAATTATGTATAAAGTAATGGTTAATGAACAATAAAGATAATTTAAAACAGTGTAAGGGAGGTAATCCAAATACAACGTTTTGGTTACTTCCCTTACACTGCTTTTAAATTATGTTTAAAGAAATGCATATTTATAAAGGAAGACCAGTAAAAATATCTGCAAATGTTGCATCATTTTTTTTTACAAAAAAATCCATATGAAAGATTTGACTCTTTTTTTTTAATTCTATTTTAAAATAGATTAAGTTAGCACTATGGTAAATTTAAATGGGTAATTATGGTTGCCAACTCCATTGGAAATTTGAATTGAGATTATGACCATATCTTGAGGGAAAGAATTTTTTGGGGGGAAAAAGGGGGGGTGGGACTAAAAGAAATTGTGGGGGGTCAATTTTTTCTCATTTCAGATTTCAGAAATTAAAAAGAATTATTCTTCAAATATTATTTTTTTTCAAATTTCAAATATTGAAAATTTTCAAGAAGTAATCTTTAATTGCACAGTATGGCGCATTAGATTTGTAAAATCTTTGATCACATTTATTTATTTGTTATGCCGAATTTAACAGTGTATTTAGATTTTTAATTTTGGGTCCAGTTTTCAAAATAGTCTACATTAAGGTCCAAAGGGTCCAAAATTAAACTTTGATTGATTTTAGCAAAAATTGAACATATGAGGTTCTTTGATATGCTGAATCTAAACATGTATTTAGATTTTTGATTTTTGGCCCAGTTTTCAAGTTGGTCCAAATTGGGGTCCAAAATTAAACTTTGTTTGATTTCAACAAAAATTGAATATATGGGGTTCTTTGATATGCTGAATCTAACCATGTATTTAGATTTTTTATTTGTGGACCCCGTTATCAAATTGGTTCATATTGAGGTCAAAAGGGTCCAAAATTAAACTTTGTTTGATTTCATCTAAAATTGAATTATTGGGGCTCTTTGATATTCCGAATCTAACCGTGTATTTAGATTTTTAATTTTGGGTCCTGTTTTTTAAATTGGTCTACATTAAGGTCCAAAGGGTCCAAAATTAAACTTAGTTTGATTTTAACAAAAATTGAATTCTTGGGGTTCTTTGATATGCTGAATCTAAACATGTGTTTAGATTTTTGATTATGGGCCCAGTTTTCAAGTTGGTCCAAGATAGGGTCCAGTATTTAAACTTTGTTTGATTTCAACAAAAATTGAATATATGGGTTCTTTGATATGCTGAATCTAAACATGTATTTAGATTTTTGATTATGGGCCCAGTTTTCAAGTTGGTCCAAATTGGGGTCCAAAATTAAACTTTGTTTAATTTCAACAAAAATTGAATATATGAGGTTCTTTGATATGCTGAATCTAACCATGTATTTAGATTTTTTATTTGTAGGCCCCGCTATCAAATTTGTTCATATTGAGGTCAAAAGGTTCCAAAATTAAACTTTGTTTGATTTCATCAAAAATTGAATTATTGGGGTTCTTTGATATGCTAAATCTAACCGTGTTTTTAGATGTTTAATTTGGGTCCCGTTTTTTAAATTGTTCTTCATTGAGGTCCAAAGGGTCCAAAATTAAACTTAGTTTGATTTTAACAAAAATTGAATTCTTGGGGTTTTTTGATATGCTGAATCTAAACATGTGTTTAGATTTTTGATTATGGGCCCAGTTTTCAAGTTGGTCCAAGTTGTGGTCCAAAATTAAACTTTTTTTGATTTCAACAAAAATTGAATATATGGGGTTCTTTGATATGCTGAATCTAACCATGAATTTAGATTTTTTATTTGTGGGCCCCGCTATCAAATTGGTTCATATTGAGGTCAAAAGGGTCCAAAATTAAACTTTGTTTGATTTCATCAAAAATTGAATTATTGGGGTTCTTTGATATTCCAAATCTAACCGTGTATTTAGATTTTTAATTTTAAGTCCCGTTTTTTAAATTGGTCTACATTAAGGTCCAAAGGGTCCAAAATTAAACTTAGTTTGATTTTAGCAAAAATTGAATTCTTGGGGTTCTTTGATATGCTGAATCTAAACATGTGTTTAGATTTTTGATTATGGGCCCAGTTTTCAAGTTTGTCCAAGTTGGGGTCCAAAATTAAACTTTGTTTGATTTTAACAAAAATTGAATATATGGGGTTCTTTGATATGCTGAATCTAACCATGTATTTTGATTTTGGACATTGGACCATAATAGGTAAATTAAAAAAATTCAAGTTCTTAGACCACATTCTTTCTGTGTCAGAAACCTGTGCTGTGTCAAATATTTAATAACAATCCAAATTCAGAGCTGTATCAAGCTTGAATGTTGTGTCCATACTTGCCCCAACTGTTCAGGGTTCGACCTCTGCGGTCGTATCAAGCTGCGCCCCAGCGAAGCATTTTATTGATTTTCTGGTTTTACTTCTATTCAATTTGTCTTTTTTCTGTTTCCTCTACTGCACTTTTCTAAAAGTGGCTGGTGTAAATCCACTCTTTTTGGGTTTGTGTTTTTCTACCAAGAGTTTCTTCACATGTGCTGTTTAATATCTCTTTTATCTGACTCCACTGGTCTTCAATGTTATCAAGTTCTTCTAGCAGCTGGAATTTGTTTAAAAGTGTGATGTTGAACTGTTTTTTCTCTCTCTTTTCTCTCAAAAAGTTGACATTGTATTTCACCCTTGATGGGTTTTTCATGGTGTATACTTTCCTTAGCTTCATTCTTACTTTTTCCAATCAGGAGGTGATGATCGGATGCAGCATCTTCTCCCCTCTTTACACAAACATCTTGAAGTGATCTTCTAAATTTGTTGTTGATGCAGAAATGGTCAATTTGGTTTTCTGTGACATGGTCTGGTGATATCCATGTTGCCTTGTGGATGTGTTTGTGTGGAAATATACTCCCTCCTATAACAAATTTATTGTTGGCACATAATTCTGCAAATCTTTCTACATTTTCATTCATTTGGCCTAGTCCATGTTTTCCCATTGATTGTTCATACCCTATATATAAGGAATTTCTAAACCTGACATAGAGAGTTGTTTCAAACTATTACTTGCATGAGAATATTTTTTTTGTGTTTTGGGGTAAAGCTATGGGCGGTCACTCTTCATGTAGATCTTCCATAAGATCACTTACCTAGAGTAAAGCCTTCTATTTCAAATAAAACTTGAAAAATACAGATAACGTGTGGTATTTCTACAAACAAAAGTGAAATCAGGTGTCTCTATCACACTTCTTTGTGTCAGTGCTCCCCGACTACGAGGTGCGCTCTGGACTGCCTACATTAATTGAAAATAGATTGTTCCTGTTCTGTGAGTGTGATTCTTACATTTTTTGTAATGCTCACGAAGAAAGGCTGATACAATGTATACTTTGTTCTGTAAATGGGAAAAATCAATAATCAGACCCTTAAACAGACAGAACAATAATCATTTATAATTTAAATTTACTTTTTATAGGAATGAAGCATGATGGATCAATGTGTGACTCCTGTAGACAACAACCAATATTTGGTATCAGATGGAAGTGTGCAGAATGTCCAAACTTTGACCTTTGTTCAGTTTGTTACCATGGAGACAAGCACAATTTGAGGCACAGATTTTATAGAATAACTACACCAGGGGGTGACAGGTAAGGAGGTTTCCAGTGATCATGTACTTTTGAAAATAATTCATTTGGTATAAAGGTAAGGTGACACTGAAAAATATCTTTTGGAGAAAAATAAATATATAACTTCAACAACCAAAAGGTAAGGTGACACTGAAAAATATCTTTTAGAGAAAAATAAGTATATAACTTCAACAACCAAAAGGTATGGTGACACTGAAAAATATCTTTTGGAGAAAAATAAATATATAACCAACAACCATCCCATGTTTCTGTGCTACAAGCAAATTTCCAATTTAGGGCTATTTTCCTAATGCTTGTTGTTTAAAGGTTTCGTTGGCTTGCTTGCTTCGTTTGTTTTTATGTTTGCTCAAGCATTGTAATTAAGATTGACATCCACAATCAATAGATAGGCGGGGACCCAGCTTGTATACATTATACTCTGCATTATACTTAACATCAAATAACAACAACAAAAACAACAAATACTTTATTAGAGTCTCACCTCTTTAAAACATTTGATATAAAACACAATACAATAACAGATCAATTTATAAAAGAGCCACTCTAAGAAGAGTTATGAGAGACTGAAAAACACACATTAAAAATACATTAATATTACATATATAACATATATCAATATATCTTAGCATAAAACACTATAATATTAAAAAGCAATTCTTTTCTAATCATAATCAGAAGATAATAAAAAATATAACATTATATTCAGTTTAAGTATAATGTATACAAGCTGAAGCCCTGCCTATCTATTGATTGCAGATGTCAATCTTAATTATATTTATACAAACAAAGCATGCAAGCCAACCAAACCTTTAAACTACAAGCATTAGGAAAATAGCTCTAATGATTTGAAAAGTTTGATGATCAGTCAAAGATATAACTCTATACGGTTATTACAGAAAATAACTTGTGTGTGTTATTACAGATACTTTCATGAGTTGTCTACTCTTTATTCCTTAAATTTTCTAAATCTGTAATAACATATGTTTGTTATTTGTAAAATTATTTCATTTATAGTTGGCTCTAGGGAACTCTTGAGACTTTGCGCAGAAACTAAATGCATAGCCTTGATAACTAATTTTTTAATTAAATTAATTCATTTTTGATTAACCATGGTAAATCAATGAGATGAGGCTATTAAGGGATAAACTTAGCTGTGATAACAAGGCTAGGTTATTAAAGGAATGTAACTTATTATATAAGACACTTGGGAATTACTGAGAAACTTGCGCAGAACCTCATTACATGCTCTGGTCATTATTTCTTACAATAAATTAAAATACATTGTAATTAAGCATGATGTATGTCTGAGCAAATGCTTTGAAGTGATATAGAGAAGCTGTGATAACACCCTTTAGTTATTACAGGCATATTTTTTTCTGTAATAACATATAGGTGTACTATGCAAAATTGGCAAACTATGAACTGTTATATCTTTCAATAGTTAAGTATACATATAGACAAAAGTAATATCAATAGAACTTTTATACATTTTAACTAAACTAATGATGTATATTGTCCCTTTGAAACATGTAACATACATATGTTATCACAGTTCTTTTATTTTTTAGTCCACAATAACAAATGTATGTTATTTTTCTGTAATAACCCTATAGAGTTATATCCCTGACTGATGATTGGTTACAATAATTCTTATATGATTTGCATATAAGAGAATACGTTGATATGATTGGTTGAGAGTACTTCCGGTAGTTGTTCTTGAGGTTGTTTATTTTTCGATAGACGACGTTGACCGAACTTCTTTTCGTAACCAATGTAAACAAGATGGCGGCGATAATGGCACAATCCGGATCGACGTTAACAAAATTTATTTTCAATTCGCATTAATAGGTCTTAATAGTTAAATTAAATAATAAACACAAAACATTCGTTTGAATGATAATAAGAGTTTTTGTAGTTTATTTTTTATCAGATTGCAAATTTCATGGAGTACATATTTTTGCGTTAACCAACAAGTATATTCATGCGCCAGGCCTATTCAATGACACAAATATACAATTTACGTGTGATAGAGGTTACGAGTGTGGAAAAATAAATTCCTTATCTCAAATTTTAAAGAATTATAAGGATTAAACGCCTTTTTAAAGAAATTTATTGGTGTATAAACTGTACCAAGCCACTCACAAACATATCATAAAAGTCCTTTGGACTTTTATTTGTTTGTGAGTGAATTGGTCGAGTTTATACACCAATAAATTCCTTTAAAAAGGCATTTAATCCTATATTATTAAAGTGTTAAAAGCTGAGGATTTGAAGATAGACTAAGCTGTAACATACAACAAAATATATTTAATTTTTTTATGAAGACAGATGTAGAATGGTAAAGTGTTGTCTTTTCATCAGTTTGTTTGTCTGAGTACATCTCAGTTTAATTTGATTTACTTTATAACAGATATTTCTTAAAATTTTATGCAGTGTTTATTTTTCAGGATGAATAGCTCCCTTTCAATATTAAAAATATTCAGATTAGTTCAAATACTATTGAAAGTTTAAATACTGCAGGTACAAATAACTAAAAGCAGAAGACATTTGTGTTATACACCCCTGGCAAAGTTTTAATTACCATATACTCTTTTTTTGTGGGATGATTTAATAATGCAAACCTTCTCAATAAGATCTTTTAATCTTTTTTATAGATGTGCTATAGAACCCAGAAGAAAAAGTAAAAAGATAACAGCTAGAGGTATATTTCCTGGAGCTCGTGTTGTGAGAGGAGTTGATTGGCAGTGGGAGGATCAAGATGGGGGTAATGGCAGAAGAGGAAAAGTTACAGAAATACAGGTGTCAGATTACATAGCTATACTGTTGATTCATTATTGTTAGTGGGATACTGATTTTTGTGGATTTCATGGGTATAGGTTAACCACACATTTATATGTTCAATGAAGTACACATTTAATATAGACATGTAAGCAAACTTCAGAAAAACCACCAAATGAAAAGTCCACTTAAATACCATGTTTCTCCAAAAGAAGATATATCCACTGTAAATATTTTGAAAGAATTAAGTTGACACAGTTGACATCAGATTAGTTTTTATACGACTGCAAAAGTTAAAAATTTTTTGGTCGTATATTGGTATCACGTTGTCGTCGTCGTCAGCGTCGTCCGAAGACAGATGGTTTCCGGATAATAACTTTAGTATAAGTGAATAGAAATCAATAAAATTTTAACACAAGGTTTATAACCACGAAAGGAAGGTTGGGATTGATTTTGGGGGTTATGGTCTCAAAGGTTTAGGAATTAGGGGCCAAAAAAGGGGCCCAAATAAGCATTTTTGCAGTTTCCAGACAATAACTTGTGTTTAAGTGTATGAATCTCTCTGAAATTATACCACAAGTTTCCATACAACAAAGGGATGAGTATGGGGGGTTATGGCTCAAACCATTTAGCAATTAGGGGCAAAAAAGGGGGAAAAACAAGGGTTTTTCTGGTTAAAGGACAATTTAGACAATTTAAAAGCAGTGTAAGGGAGGTAATCCAATCCATTTAAAGAATACTGTTGTATATATGTTTGATAACCTCCCTTACACTGCTTGTAAATTATGTATTAAGAAATGATGATTGTCTTGAGATGATTAGCTGTAAATTTATTATTAGAAGTTACTATTAATTAATATTAATTTTAACCATGACTGTATGTCATTTTATATTTTAATATTTTATGATGTATTTAAATGAGTAGTTATGGTTGCAAACTCTATTAGTAATTTGAATTGAGATTATTTTTGGAATAAGGAAAAGGGGGAGTTGAAAAAAATTTGGGGGGGGGGGGCTACAATTTTTCTCATTTCAGATTTCAGATGCCACAGCATAGTGTATTGCACAAAAGCAAAAAATTGAATATAAATTCAAATCATACAACCAATTTTAAGTTCTTTGACTACAGTTATTCTGTGTCAGAAACCTATTATGTGTCAAATATTTAATTACAATCCATATTCAGACCTGTATCAAGCGCGAATATTGTGTCCATTTTTGCCCCAACTGTTCAGGGTTGGACCTCTGCGGTCGTATGCAGCTGCGAAGCATTTTATTTTGGTGTACTACTACTTTAGCTGAATCCTTTATGATACATGTATATGTATTATAAACTTTGATGACTCACTAAGAAACTGGAAGTTATGTTAAGTTTGGGAGTGAGATGCCAAGTTTACACATCAATATACTTAACCTTTATTACCAATAAATCCTATAGATTTACCAAATATAATGTCCAGACCAAATTATTATCAATACTTACAGAACTAATTGGTCTGAGACTCTGAGTAGGAATTCATGGCTGTGATATCATGAAACGAGTTAAACTATGTATAAACTTATTGGTTGCCTTGACACACACACATATGAATGTAATAAAACTTAACATACATTGAAGTAATAAGAATAATACATTTGAGCAATGTCTGTATTATTATCATCAAAGTAATATAGTAATCATTTCACCTAGTCTGGTTCTTTCCTTTGTTATCTCAGTAACTTATCATCCTTTGTTACCATTAATTGTTCATTTATTATTAGCCATGTTTGGTTCAAGGATCCAGAAAATTTTTTTTCACACAATTTCAGTCAAGATGACTTGAAAGTTAGGGTCTTTTTTTCAAACTTTCATAATTATTAACACTACATCAACAAACTTGTATTGAATGTTTGATTGCATTTACTTCATGAAGTATGCTGTTTCCGGAGTCGGCAGCGGCATCAACAATGTACTAGTTTGTGATTAGGTCTAGTTTATTGTGAACCACTAGTGGTAGGTCAATGTTAATTGGTATGCAGTTGTATAAGCATTAGCACATCAGCAATGGAGATTATTTGGCTCCACCCCAGCAGTCATGGTCTATTGACTTTGAAACTTTTGCTTAGTTTACATGTATTAGTTTGTGATTAGATCAGTTAAGATGAATCACTAATGTTAAGTCAATGACATTTGGTTTGCAAACTTATTGGCATTTGCAAGTCGCGTTTCCATGGAGATTATATAGCCCCACCCCCTCATCATGGTTCATTGATTTTGAAACTTTTACATAGTTTACAAGTTAATGTTTGTGTCTTGGTTTGTTTAAAGGGAACGACTTATGATAAGTCAATGGTATTTGGTATGCAGTTGTATAAGCATTGGCACATCTCATTTCCATGGAGATTGTTTAGCCATGTACCTTCAGTCATGGTTCATTGATTTTGAATATTAGCATAACTTACATGTTAAAGTATTACTATTTTAATTCAACATTTGCATTATCAAAATTACAAAAAGGTGAGACATATCTCTGTGATAACAGTTTATTGTTCATTGCTCAACAATGTCAGTAATAATTGTATAAAGCAAAATTTCAGAATTGACAGAACTTGTTTATAATTGAGTCTTATTTTTAACTTCTAGGGATTGTGATTGTTACGACTCATTAAATCAAATTTACTTATGAAAAACAGTAAACATAACAGAGGTAAACCTGATAATTAGATCCTCTAAATAAAAAACTTTTTAATTAATTTTAGGATTGGAGTGCTGCAAGTCCTAGAAGTGCTGCATATGTTTTATGGGACAATGCTGCAAAAAATTTATACAGAGGTGGTTTCGAGGGAATGGTAAGGTTACTTATTGTGCTTGAACTGAGTAAATTTTGTTCCTAATATAAACTGTCTGCTGGCCACTGTTGGTGATTAATGTAAGATAACTTCGTTTAATTTTTTTCAACAATTAATCACTAAGGGGAGATAATAAAATTTTGCTATCATATACAGTCAAACTTGCCTTAAGGGTCACCTGTCTCTAACAGTCACTTTCAGACCCTCCCAAATGTTTTCTCTATATAATTTTAACTCTTTTCAGCAGTTGACTGTCTAACACGGTCAGAGGTCACATAATTTTTGCAGGAAATTATCATTTCAACTTTTAACAACTGTCATTTTGATATTTTTAACTATCAATATAATCATGACAAAAAATATGTATTCAGTGTCAAATTGAAAATGAGAATTGGAACCTGTTTGTAACTGTGATAGTGCCATATGAGGTGAATTCAAGAATTCCTTGTGTACTACTCCTTTCAGTTTCCATTGAAAACAGTATCACCAACTTATATCTTCACGACTATTGACATATTACAAAAGTTTTCGACCAATTTCCAACGCCTGATTTCACTGATCAAAGAACGATAATTCTGCCAACTGAGAGCACTAAACAATTTGCTGCGATCCTGGCCATTTGATATGATATTAGAATCGAAATTTTCCAAACCTCTTTTAAAAGGTCACCTCTTTTGAGCGGTCACTTTTAATACTTCCCATTAGTGACTGCTTAATACAGGTTTTAAACATTATTTGCCTCTTAGAAACAATACAGATAGTAGTGAGCTTTCATCAACTTACCAAAAATAAAGATTTAATTAAAGCATTGGCTTTTTGTCATTGTTTAATTTTTTTTATCTGTGGCAGCTTTTTATAAATATATCACAGCTTCCTGTTAATATTGGACTAAAAACCCATATCCCGCTGTCCTCCGGTTGTATGGCTATATATTGTCAAAATAAAATCAGCTCTTCTTAAGGAAGATGAACTTTTTAACAAAATTATGTTATTGATAAACATACAAAAATCTTAAGTCACTCTGGACAGTTGAAATAATTCTAAGTTAAGCAGGATTCTGAGGAAGCAAAGTAATTCAGATGAAATAATAAGAAAAATATTAACATTTACAGACTTCATGCTCTTCACAAGTAACACCTGTCTCATATTAAATGTAATTGGAATTTTTTTAGGCTGACTTAAAGGTTGTAAACGATGCTAAAGGAGGTTCTTTCTACAGAGACCATTTACCATTGTTAGGTAAGTAAAATAGGCAAAGTTAGAAGAGATGAACTAAATAGACTTATTCTTCTATAAGAATCACATTAAAAGCATATTGCACTGGTGCAACTTCAGGTCATTGCATTGGGGAATATTGACCAAACTTAAAATACAGGTTATACATGTTATTGGCCTGCACAATACAGTTAACTTTTGTTTAAAACTTGTACCATTGGGATAGTTTTATAGACTCCTTTCAATTTATTAGTCCCCTACAGACAAAGGGGACTTTAGGTTTGCACTCCGTCCGTCTGTCTGTCTGTCTGTCAGTCCCGCAAATCAGTTTTCCACACTTTTTTTCTCCGTGCTTGAAGATATTGATTTGAAATTTGTTATAGTTTTATCATGACAAGTTACAGATCAAATTTTGTTCCGGTCTGATGATTTTGTGCAGAGTTATGGTCCTTGGACTTAGAAAATTCACTTAAATAATCAGTTTTCCACACTTTTTTTCGTCATGCTTTAAGATATTGACTTGATATTTGTTATATGGTTTACACCATGACAAGTTGTAGATCAAGTTAGCATTTTGTTCCAGTACAATTAATTTTTAACCAGTAGGGGACTATGTATGTATTGCCATGCAATACTCTCAGAATGCTTGTTATGAATCAAATGGTATAAAAACATTGTGTCCTAGATTTTTTCCTTATTGCAGGACTAATACTTAACGGGGTGTCCATGGAATATTGATCATGATAGTCCTGTTTTTATATGCCCGTTTACGGGACGTATTATGGTATACCGTTGTCCGTCCGTCGTCAACATGTCGGACAATAACTCAAAAAATGCTTTAAACAATTCGCATGAAACTTTGGTTAATTGTTTATATCTATTGACATGAGCTCCCTTTCGTTTTTAATAAATTTTAGATTTTAAGTTTCCAAGTTTTGGGGTTTTTTTTCATTAATAAAGGGGGATTTTCCAGTTTTCGGACAATAACTCAAAAACACTTTCACCAATTTACAAGAAACTTTGGTGAATTTTTTATATCTATTGTGATGAGCTTCCTTTCAATTTTTATAAATTTTAGATTTTACGTTTCCGAGTTATGGGGTTCTATTCATTAAAAAAAGGCGGATTTTCCAGTTTTCGGACAATAACTCAAAAATGCTTTTAGCAGATTTCATGAAACTTTGGTGAATTGTTTATATCTATTGACTTAAGCTGCGTTTCGATTTTTATAAATTTTAGATTTTATGTTTCGGAGTTATGTGATTTTATTCATAAAAAAGGGGTGATTTTCCAAAATTTTCCAGTTTTCGTACAATGCTTTGAGCAGTTATCATGAAACTTTGGTGACTGGTTTATATATATCAAGGTAACCTCCCTTTAGTTTTTCATGAATTTCTAATATGACATTGAGAAGTTATTGAAGTTTATTCTTTGAAAAAGCGATGGGCGTATCATGCGCTCATGGCGCAGCTGTTTATTATATCCGTTAGTAAGATATTGAAGATTAAAAATAAATTTTGCAGGATAGGTACATCCTTCTAGTATTCTGATGTTAATATTAATGAATAATAAATTATTTCTCTATGAAATCCAATGAATTATTAAAAGTGATGAAAGGGAGTTAACTACTCTTTGCTTGCAATACTGATTAAGAAGCAAACAAAGGTTATCTCCCTTACAGTATAGAGTAGGCATAATGGTTATAACCAGGCACTTCCAAAATGTACTGGTGGTTTTCACATATTTAATTTCTTGAAGAATAAAACTTGATAACAATAAGTAGCAGTTCCTGTTACTAGAGATGTCAGCATTTAATTACATCAAAAAAGAAAATAATATGGTTATGCAGCAAATGTGGACCTTAAAAAAATGTGAATATAAAAGTTATATTGTATTGATGTACAAATGTACAAATAATGCTAAGAGACTGACATCACAGATGTATGTTTTTTTTTGCCTAGGGTCATATTTATGTGACAAGTGTAAACCAGTTTTGATAGATATTAACATTTCCTACTGCTACCAAGGTCAATGGTGGAATGTCAGAAATCAGTTCAAAGCCTTATATTGTAACACAGCAAAAGTCATTGAAAATATGAATGTCAGAAAAATAAAGACATACAAATGCAACTTGTGTCTGCTCACAGTATCTGAAAACCAGCACTTTGCCGTATTATAGGCTATATCTTTTTGGAATAATAATGCCTTTTAAACATCAATGGCAATATGTCGAAAACAATTTCATGACCTACAATAGGGTAACGGACAAACCAATTTGTCTGGCTTATTTGTTATATATGTATATTCTGTGATATTTTTAGGAGAACAAGGTCCTGGGTCCAGATCTGGTCCTGGTGGACTGGCCATAGGTGATCAAGTAAATGTGGATTTAGAATTAGAAATTGTACAGTCCTTACAGCATGGACACGGAGGCTGGACTGATGGAATGTTTGAGGTACAAGAGAATTGTATAAATTGTCATACTGAACAATTTTTGTGTAACGATGTAAGCTTGACATATTGTATACACACCTGTCTATTGTTCTAGACTATATTTCTAACCAGATTTTGCTGTCCCTTTTTGACATATACCCCACACCTCCTTCTATAAGCTAAACTGGCCCAAAGGGTCAGTGTGAGTTTGTGCCCTCAATTGGTGTCTGTCATCTGTCATCATCCATCTTCATTATCTGTTAACTTTTACAAAAATCTTATTTTCTGAAACTAATTGCTAAATTGAACCATACTTTTATCATGTGAATTTCTCCCTTATTATAAGTAATAGGATAACAATATTTGGTTAATGGGTTCCTTGCAAGTCTACATGTTCGTCAGACAGGGTTCACCTGACTTCAACCTCATTTCATGGATCAGTGATCAATGTAAAGTTTTTGTATTTTGGTCTGTTTTTATACGCATGTTTACGGGACGTATTATGGTATACCGTTGTACGTCCGTCTGTCCGTCTGTCCGTCCGTCCGTCGTCAACATGTCGGACATTAACTCAAAAACACTTTAACCAATTTGCTTAAAACTTTGGTGAATTGTTTATATCTATTGACGTGAGCTCCCTTTCGTTTTTTATAATTTTTAGATTTTACGTTTCCGAGTTATGGGGTTTTATTCATTAAAAAAAGGGGGATTTTCCAGTTTTCGGACAATAACTCAAGAATGCTTTCACCAACTTGCAAGAAATTTTGGTTAATTGTTTATATCTATTGACATGAGCTCCCTTTGGATTTTTATAAATTTTAGATTTTACGTTTCCGAGTTATGGGGTTTTATTCATAAAAAAAGGGGGATTTTCCAGTTTTCGGACAATAACTCAAAAATGCTTTCAGCAGTTCTCATGAAACTTTGATGTTGATATCTATTGATGTAAGCTCCCTTTAGAATTTTATAAATTTTAGATTTTACATTTCCAAATTATTGGGTTTATTCATTAAAAAAGGGGGATTTTCCAGTTTTCAGACAAAAACTCAAAAATGCTTTCAGCAATTCGTATGAAACTTTGGTGAACTGTTTATATCTATTGATGTAAGCTCCCTTTAGAATTTTATAAATTTTTATTTGTTTATAGTCTGACAACAGATTTACTAAGTATTGCGCAACAGCACAGTGTATTGCACAACAGCAAGAAATCTTTAATTGAATATAAATTCAATTCATATAACCAACTTCAAGTTCTTTGACTACATTTATTCAGAAACCTATAATAGATGTATGTCAAATATTTAATTACAATCCAAATTCAGACCTGTATCAAGCTTGAATATTGTGTCCAATTTTGTCCCAACTGTTCAGGGTTAGACCTCTGCGGGCGTATCCAGCTGCGCTCAGCGAAGCAGTTTATTAAAATACTATATTTGGTGTAGGGAATGATTGTTAGGTGTACATGTTTGTCTGGCAGGGTTCATTTAACCTTGACCTCATTTTCATGTTTCATTCATTTATGTTAAGTTTTCTTGGTTAAAACTGTTTATCGCAATAGGTCAACTATATTTGGTGCATGGAAATATTGTTAGGTTGCCTGGCATGTATCATCTGACCTTGACCTCATTTTCATGTTTTTTGGTTCATACTAAGTTTTCATATTTTGGTCCGTTTCTTGTATACTATAAGAAATAGGTCAACTATATTTGGTGTATAGAATGGTGTACATGTATGTCTAGCTTGGTTTATTTGACCTTGACCTCATTGTCATGAATCATTGATAATGTTAAGTTTATGTGATACTTGTAGTAAAACTTTATCTTTAAGACTATCAACATAAATTCAACCATGGTCAGTAAAACAGGCGTGACATTTCAGTGTGTGCACTTTTGTTTCCTCATTTTGAATTTTTGGCAAAAATAGAAGAGATGTAGAAAAACTGTAAACAGAAAAAACAATCAGAAAGACAAGATTTATGAATTAGTAAAAGCAGCAGAAATTGTTCAGCTTTGCCATATATGATGATATTAACCTGTTTTGGGCAAAAACTGTAGTAGATAGAAAAAACAACAGAATAAGTCCTACCAATAGGTTGAATAGCCAAAATTTTCAGACTACTCCTCATAGTAGTTACTGACCTTTGATATTTTTCCTTAATTTTTGCATTGTTTGGGAAAAACTATAGAAGATTTGAAAAACTTTAAACTGCAAAATGATCGGAAAAATGAGATCTATGAATAAGTAAAGATTGCTGAAATTGTCAGTTGACACCTTACAAGTGTTTTTGCCCTTAAATGATGTCATTAACTCGTTTTAGGAGGGTTTGGGGGAAAACAAGAGTGGGTAGAGAGAAACTGTGAACAGCAAAAATGATCAGCAAAACAAGATTTACAAAATGGTCAAAAAGCCTTTATTGTCCGACAACTACTTACAGGAATTATTGCCTTTAGTCATGATGTTTTACTCATTTGTACATATTTTGGTAAAAACTATAGTTGATGAATCTGAATACTACAAAAATGAGTAGAAAGACATTGTTTAGGTCAACATAGTCTATATTGTGAGTAGGAGTTACTGCTCTTAAATGAATGTTGAAGCCATACTTCGTGTTTATATAAATTCTGTAGAAGATATAGAAAACTGTTAAAAGCAAAAATTATCTGCAAGGAGATCTAGAAATGGGTCAAACAACCAAAATTGTCTGATCCTTGCAGGATTTATTGCCCTTTAAAGATGACTTTTACACATTTTATAATTTTTGGAAAACTATAGTAAACTGTAAACAGAAAAAAATAGTCAACAACACATGATTAAAAAAGAGATATTGTGGGAGAGTGGCCATTTTTGAAGCTGCACATTGATCCAAGTGAGTGACACAGGCTTTTTTCAGCCTGTAGTTCATATTTAAAACAAATAGATTTTTTTTACCTCAAATGTTTTGGTTTTTTTTAAAGGCCAGTTAATTTATTATAGTTATTTTAACTGTAAGAGAGATCTACTACTTTTGGAAAAATTACTCCTCTTGAAAAAATTTGTGAAGGTGATAGGAAGGAAAAATTTCATTGCACTGAAATCAACCTCTGAATAAAAACCCATATGTTAACAGCTGTTTTTCAAATGCATTATATACATTATAGTTAGTAGAAATAAATTATATAATTTAGAAATAGTCCGATGGAAAAGTTCAGATGTTAATATATTTTTCCTGAAACCTCTCATATTTATTATGTTTTGTTTGAATTTGCAAGATTGCTAAAAAAAATCTGTTTGTTAATAGAACATGATTTGAATGTCTTTTCAAAAATCCTGTCCCTGTGTTGTTTTTTTTAAAAATTTTTTTTACTTAAAAAACTTAAATTTCAGCAGAGTTTGTTATAGAAATTGGTAAGATGGTTAAAACCAGTAAAACGCTTGTGGGACCAGTAAAAAAGAGATTTTTACTGAACCTAATGTCCAATAACTTTTTATGAATTTCTGTTATCTTTATTATCTAGTGAAATTTTGTTTGGATTAGTATAAAATAATAATTGACAAAGGACCCATCAATCTTCTTTTCAAACTCTTTTTTGAAATTTTGAGAAAAACTATTTTTATTTTATTGATGTTTTTTCATAGTGTCTTGGTACAACAGGAACTGTTGTTGGTATAGATGAAGATCATGACATTGTTGTGTCTTATCCCAGTGGAAATAGGTAAGTTTTTTAACAGTAATTAGTTCAGAGGAAGTATTGATATCTGTATGCCATAACTGACTTGAAATACTGAAGTTTTGTATCAATATTTGACACAAATAGTATAAGGTTTTGTGAATATTACTCTAGAATTATCAATAGATTATGTGGTATAGTAACTTTTTTATAAACAGGAACCATAAGTATAATTACTAAGTAAATTCCTCAAGAAGGAATAACATGAATAAGTAATTAAAAAATGGAAACTCTCAAATAAGGTAACAAAAGAAATCGTAAAAATATCAGTAATGAGTAAGAAGGTACTCCAGTTTCTGATGAAAATAATAGAATTCTTAACAATGAATAGTTTTACATGACACGTGAAAAATTTAAATAAAATAATTGCAGCCAGTATCCTTACAATGCACTATGTATTGATATTGAAAAAGCATAATAACCTTAACAAAACCTCTGTTTTTTGTCATATCTGCAGCAAGGTTGCAATGAAAAATATCAAAAATTTACATGATAAACATATAAAAATTAAGGTGATTTGCTATGATTGCTGATGAGATAACAATCTTAAAGTAACAAACAACAAAGCTGTGATTAAATTCATATTTGAAATACTAACAAATTCCGTTGAAATCTTTCCATCAATTCTATCAAGCACTGATTTCAAAAGCAAATAATTCTTACTAGCCATAACATTTCTTACTTTTCACCATAAATTGACACTCATTCAATAATTGTAAACAACTAATACTTTAATTGTAATATCTCTAAAACTTCCTATGTCTCATGAATTAGTTATTTGTCATGCAAAAATAATTTTCAATGAAAATATTGTCATTCTCAAATTCAAAAAAATTCAGTCACAACATTCTTAAGTACAATCTTTAATGATTTCCAAGTTGGACTATTTTTACTGGAACTGCTCTTCTTTTTCAGATGGACATTTAACCCTGCCGTGTTAACGAAAGTAAATAGTCCAAGTACTGCTTCTTCTTCCAATACAGATAATGCAAACATCACTCCTCCACCTACGCCATTCACAGTAGGAGATCTAGTCCAGATCTGTAGTGATGCAGAGAAAATCAAACTTTTACAGAGAGGCCATGGTGAATGGGCAGAGGCCATGATACCTGTAATTATTCTAATCATTTTGTCATTTTCAGCCAAAAATATTAAAGAAGTATTATTTGTGAACCATTATTCCCGAAATTGTTGCTTATTTCTTTTCATAAAACTTTCTTGTTGCGAAAAATAGAACTTAGGGGTAAAATGCAGTTTTTGGCTCATTTCTCAAAAACTAAAGCGGTGAGAGCAATTCTGACGGGGTACATAATATGAATACATCAGTTTATTAGCTTTATACAATTTTTTTGTCTGACACTTGTAACAGATTACATGATTGTTAATTTTTATGCCCCCGTCATAGCTGAGGGGGCATTAAGTTTTACCCCTTGTCCGTCTGTACGTCCTTCCATCCGTACGTATGTCCGTACGTCCCAAAGTTGGTTTCCGTTCTCTAACTTAAGTTTGCCTCAACCAAATTTTTTGAAACTTATACACAATGCTTATTACCACAAAACACAGATCAAGTTTGAATTTTAGTGGCGTCACTTTAACCGTTCTAGAGTTATGCCCCTTTACAAATGGAAAAATTGCTGAATTTTCGTTTCCGTTCTCTAACTTTAGTTTGCCTAAACCAATTGTTATGAAACTTATACACAATGCTTACTACCACAAAATACAGATCAAGTTTGAATTTTGGTGGTGTCACTTTTACTGTTCTAGAGTTATGCCCGTTTACAAATGGAAAAATCTCTGAATTTTTCGTTTCTGTTCTCTAACTTAAGTTAGCCTCAACCAAATGTTATGAAACTTATACACAATGCTTACTACCACAAAATACAGATCAAGTTTGAATTTTGGTGGTGTCACTTTTACTGTTCTAGAGTTATGCCCCTTTACAAATGGAAAAATGCTGAATTTATCATTTACATTCTCATACTTAAGTTTGCCTCAACCAAATGTTATGAAACTTATACACAATGCTTATTACCAGGAAACTCAGATCAAGTACAAATTTAGGTAGAGTCACTTTTACTGTTCTTGTGTTATGTCCCATTATAACATTGTATGCAAGTGGGGTCATCATCTGTGTCCATGGGGACACATTCCACATTTATTTTTAAAAATTATGTTGTCATTTCAGACTTTGGGTAAGATCGGACGTGTCCAGCAGATTTATCATGATAATGATTTAAAAGTAGAAGTTTGTGGAACATCTTGGACCTACAATCCCTCAGCTGTCACTAAAGTGGCCTCATCTGATGGAGCAGCAGTGGGCAACTCATCTGGTGGTGATTATTGTTGTACTGTTATTGCACCAAAATATATTTAGTATTACCCCATAACATAACATGCTATGGGGATGAAAGATTTACATGTTCTTGTGATTTTCAATGATCTTCCTTGTACACACAAAAAGAACAGGAGCTGACATAAAAAAAACAAGAAACATGATATCCATTTTAGAAAAAAGTGTTTAATCCTTTTTTATAAAATCAAGAGCTCTGAAACATTTTACTCAATTTCAGAAAACAATGTTATGCATTCTTCATTTGCCCGAATTAATATTTTATGGTCAAGTTATTTCATAATTATGGAGCCTATAGGTGCCTTTTTATTTGGTGATGAGATATTTTTTCTTTAATTATAGAACGTTTAAGTGCACTCTTGAAGAAACTGTTTGAAACACATGTGACAGGTGACATTAACGAGGAGTTGGTGAAGGCTGCTGCTAATGGTGATGCATCAAAAGTGGATGAGATACTATCTAGATCTGATGCTGATGTGGGTATCTCAAATGTAAGATTACCTTAAAATCTAGCCCAAATTACATACAATATCTAAATGGGATGTACTGTTGAAATATTACATTTTCTGTAAGATAGGCAGTTGTCAGATTAATTTATTTACAAGAGTTATTTGATATTCCAGTATATCAAACGGGTGATTGGTTACTATGTAGCAATCTTGCTAATTTGATATTGTCAATTAATATGAGCAGAATCTTTTTTGTTTATTGCATGTCTCTGTCTGTGAATTAGATCATTTTAATTTGTATGACCTTAATAGACTAATAAACAAGAAAAAGGGTTTCAGTCATCATGGTCATTTGATGTGAATCACATATTCAAAAATAACATGTAAAGCTATGAAATAAAAAAAAGAATTGATTTTATTTGCAAATATTAAATATTTTTACAAAATATGACCTGTAATATTATAATTGAATGATTTAGGCCAATGGAATGTTTGCTGGACATACAGCTTTACAAGCGGCTTCACAGAATGGTCATTCAGATGTAATAAAAGTCTTAATGAAGTATGAAGTCAACTTTGAAATTGAGGTTTGTTTATTGTTCGTGTCATCATCAGTATTATTATACTACATTGTAATAAATGGAGATGTAGGGTATATGTCATTTAGACAGCAAACCAATTATCTTACCGAAACCAAAAAAACACATCAGAGGTTTGGTTTATATTCATGGTATAAGTCATGCATATAGGCTTAAAGTCTGAAAGCTGCAAGTAAGATTTTATGTTGATTATTCTGGGCACTTTGAAATGTAAAAGGCACTTTTTATTTAACCCCTCTATGCATAAAATTTTAAATTGATTATTTCATGTAACTGTTAAAGCTATTTGTCTAAAATAACCACCACCCATCAAGTTTCAATTAGAGTGCCTTCTGACCCCCCATTCAATTAATTCTGGAAAAGCCATAACCAGGTATATTATTTATACGACTTGCGGTCATATATTGTAATGACGTTGGTGTCGTCGTCCGTTGTCGTTCATTACCACAAAAGGAAGGTTGGTATTGATTTTGGGGGTTATGGTATCAACAGTTAAGGAATTAGGGGCCAAAAAGGGGCCAAAAATAAGCATTTTTGTAACTTCCAGACATAACTTGTGTGTTAGTGTATGGATCTCTCTGACATTGTACCACAAGGTTCCATATCACAAAGGGAATGCTGGGATTGATTTTAGGGGTAATTGCCTCAAAGTTTTAGGAATTAGGGGGCCAAAAAAGGGGCAAAAAACAAGCATTTTTCTAGTTTCATGACAATAACTTGTGTGAAAATGTATGGATCTTTCTGAAATTGTACTACAAGGTTCCATATCACAAAGGGAAAGCTGGAATTGAGTTTGGGGGTAATTGCCTAAAACGTTTAGGAATAAGGGGCCAAAAAGGGACAAAAATAAGCATTTTCTAGTTTCCAGACAATAACATGTGTTCAAGTGTATGGATCTCTCTGAAATTGTACTGCAAGGTACCATACCACAAAAGGAAAGGCTGGGATTGATTTTGGGGGTAATTGCCTCAAAATGTTAGGAATTAGGGGCCAAAAAGGGGCAAAAAACAAACATTTTTCTAGTTTCAGGACAATAACTTGTGTGTAAGTGTATGAATCTTTATGAAATTGTACTTCAAGGTTCCATATCACAAAGGGAAAGCTGGGTTTGAGTTTGGGGGTAATTGCCCTAAATGTTTAGGAATTTGGGGCCAAAAAGGGGCAAAAAAACAAGCATTTTTCTAGTTTCCAGACAATAACTTGTGTTCAAGTGTATGGATCTCTCTGAAATTGTACTGCAAGGTACCATACCACAAAGGGTAGGCTGGGATTGAGTTAGGGGGTGATGAATCACAAGGGGGGTTCAAAAAATTTTAGGGGGAGGGATTTTTTTTTCATTTTTTTCTTTTTTTTTCTTTAAAATTTTCCAATTTAAATTGGTTATTTCTGATTTATATATAAAAGCAAATAATAATGATATGGTTTGAATAGGTAGATTAAAAATTTATAAGTTCTTAGACCACATTCATTCTGTGTCAGAAACCTATGCTGTGTCAAATATTTAATCACAATCCAAATTCAGTGTGTATCAAGCTTGAATGTTGTGTCCATACTTGCCCCAACTGTTCAGGGTTCGACCTTTGCGGTCGTATCAAGCTTCGCCCAGCAGAGCATTTTATTTGTTGTTGAAATTTTGAGTTGTTTGAATCACATAAATATATACACCATGGGTAAATACATTTTCATTTATATTAACCCTTTCCCTTTCACACCGGTACAAAGCAAATTTTAAGACATTTTTTTGGCGTAAAGTCTTGTTTCATCAACATTCTTTGACGTACAGATTTGGTTAAGGGCTCAAATTAATCCTCAGAATACCAGTAATGTGATTTTTATATGCATCAAACTTCTGTCATTATCTGTTAAAAGTCGATTTACCTTTTATTTAACAAGTGTTTCTATTGTAAAAACCTTTTTATTTTTATGCCCCCGCCGTAGCAAAGGGGGCATTTAGTTTTACCCTTGTCCGTACGTCCTGAAATTGGTTTCTGTTCTCTAACTTGAGTTTGCCTCAACCAAATGTTATGAAACTTATACACAATGCTAATTACCACAAAACACAGATCAAGTTTGAATTTTGGTGTTGTCACTTAAACCTTTCTAGAGTTATGCCCCTTTATAAATGGAAAAATTGCAAAATTTTCAGTTTCCGTTCTCCAACTTAAGTTGCCCCAACCAAATGTTATGAAACTTATACACAATGCTTTTTACCACACAACATTTGTTCTGATTAGTGTTCTTTTCTCTGGGATTTGTTCTGATTAGTGTTCTTTTCTCTGGAATTCGTTCTGATAAGTGTTCTTTTCTCTGGGATTTGTTCTGATTAGTGTTCTTTTCTCTGGGATTTGAACTGATAAGTGTTCTTTTCTCTGGCATTTGTTCTGATAAGTTATCTTTGTTCTGGGATTTTTTCTGATAAGTTCTCTTTTTTCTTGTTTTTGTTCTGATATGTTTTCTTTTCTCTGGGATTTGTTCTGATAAGTGTTCTTTTCTCTGGAATTTGTTCTGATAAGTTATCTTTGTTCTGGGATTTTTTTCTAAGTTCTCTTTTCCCTTGGATTTATTCTGATAAGTGTTCTTTTCTCTGGGATTTGTTCTGATTAGTGTTCTTTTCTCTGGAATTTGTTCTGATAAGTGTTCTTTTCTCAGGAATTTGTCTGATAAGTTTTTCTCTTGGATTTGTTCTGATAAGTGTTTTTTTCTCTGGGATTTGTTCTGATAAGTGTTTTTTTTTTCTCAGGGATTTGTTCTGATTGGTGTTTTTTCCCTGGAATTTGTTCTGATAAGTGTTCTTTTCTCTGGGATTTGTTCTGATGGTGTTCTTTTCCCTGGAATTTGTTCTGATAAGTTCTCTTTTCTCAGGGATTTGTTCTGATAAGTTATCTTTTCTCTGGGATTTGTTCTGATAAGTGTTCTTTTCTCTGGAATTTGTTCCGATAAGATAAGTTATCTTTGTTCTGGGATTTTTTATGATAAGTTCTCTTTTCCCTTGGATTTATTCTGATAAGTGTTCTTTTCTCTGGTATTTGTTCTGATTAGTGTTCTTATCTCTGGAATTTGTTCTGATAAGTGTTTTTTTCTCATGAATTTGTTCTGAAAAGTGGTTTTTTTCTCAGGAATTTGTTCTGATAAGTGTCCTATTCAATGGGATTTTTTCTTGCAAGTTCTATTTTCTCTGTGATCTTTTCTGACAAGTTATGTTTTATGAATCAGGACAAAGATGGTGACAGGGCGATACATCATGCAGCTTTTGGTGATGAACCCAGTGTTGTAGAACAGCTTCAACGTGGAGGTGCAGATCTAAATGCAAGAAATAAACGTAGACAAACTCCATTACATATAGGTGTGAACAAAGGCCATATTGGTGTAGTCAGAATTCTCCTAGAACTAGATTGTCATCCTAGCTTACAGGTAAGACCATTTTTCTTCGAAAATGCAAACAAAAGCCATATAAATCAGACCTTCACTATACCTAGATGATCTAACTTGTAAGACAAACTCTATTTGAAATGTAAGCATTGGTTCTTCTGAGCATACCAGGCCAAAATAAAAATATTGTATGTTTGCCCAAACGCGACCGACCCAAAAAAAAAACCGCCGACTCAAATTCTTTTTTTGCCGTTTTTTTGAAGAATTTTTTTTTTTCGGATCTTTTTCGTGTCCGCTCCGTCATCGTATAAAACTTAATGTGTGTCGTCTTTGCGTTTGAAAGTAACTGTGAATAAGATTAAAAGAAAGCGTGTAAGAGACGCAGTTAATCGATATTCAATGTTCTCGGTTTTTATCTTCTGATTTAACGTACGGTTACTTCTGCTTTGGCGCCGGCTACTTCAAAATTGTCAAAAATAATATTTTCACAAAGTTTTCATTTTTTACCAAGTCGATGAAACATTGACAATTAAAGAAATTCAGACATAAACGATTCATTTTCTGAAGAACAGAGATTTAAGCATTGACTTTACAGTGTGAAGCAGATTATTTAATAAAAAGACAACTTTTTATCACTTCATTCACTTCCGGTACTTGTTACACGAGATCGTACATCAATCTAACTTTCGGCGACAAAATAAGTTTGTTACTTCATTTGAACGTGATGAAAATTGCCTCCAGTAAATGTTTTCTAACTACAGATCGGAAACGGACCAGCTATGACCGAAATCCGTATTTTTACAATAATAACTACGGACGCATGAATGGAACAGCTGACAAGGAAATTGGTCCCAAATGGAAAAATTGCGCATTCCACACGCATTAACAGACTATTTGTTAGATTTACTTGATTAATGTTTATAATTCCATATATATGGATTGTTTCAAAATATTGATTAAACTTGCTTAATTAACTCTGGGACTATAATACTAATATCAATATAAATGGCCCAGCTTAACTTTGTATATCTTTTGATGAGAAACACTGAATTTCATAAACATGATAAACAAGATAGTTTTTTAATTGAATTGTGATTTATATATTATAATTTCTTTATCTTTTTGTCATAAAAAAAAATCTTTTTAGTGCTAGATATTTAGTTGGTAGTTTCTCACAAGAACCTAAACTTAAACAACTTTGAATTTGAACTTTTACTTTAATTGTATACTCAGATATGAATTGAACAATATAAAAAGAACATTATTTACATATGACCCTTTGTACTATAGGTAGTAAAAATCAAACATTGTAGCACAGTGTGCAAAGGAGCACTTCTCCCTATCAGTTTCAAAAAGAGAAGTCACTTCTCCCTATGATTCTGAAGTAGTATGAGCCCTGCATGATTATGCATTTAAGGATGTACTTAGGTCAGGTTTTTGAATTTCTGTCAGATGTTTGGACTCTGGTTTTTTCCTACAATACAGGGTAAAATATTTTGCCCAATGACCCCCATTTTTTTTCCATATATAATACTTCAATTAATAACTCATAAAAGGTCATATACCAAAATTTAAGCAGATTGTAGATTTCTTCTCTTTCCATTAGTTTGCTTCTTAACTTAAATGCTCTTGAAGTCTTCTGACTTGTAGTATCAATTTTAAATTCTACATTTTTCTAATTTCACCAAAGTACATCCTTAAAGAGTTCACCTTTTTGCCTGCAACAGTCCAATTCATCATTTGATTTATTGTAATAAGTAATGTGAAATTATTAATACTGAGAAATAAAAAAAAATGTCTATGGGTTCGAATTATTTGAATAATTGCATGTCTACAGTTAAACTAAAAATATTTTCAACTAATAAGATCAAATTTGAATCTTTTCCTGAATGATCACCATGTCTTACAGAGTCATCCTTCATCATTTTCCTCAAACAACTTCAACTACTTGTTAGCTGAAAGTCTTGTTATAGTGATAATAATATTTATGTGATCAACTTTATAGAAAATATGTGACCATCTTGCTGCTCATTTACCTTGTCATCATTAAAACAAATGGTGTTTGATTAGGACTAAATTAGAGTTCAGGAGCCCCAGAATGCAGGATTTTTGCACCATTTTAGACAAAAAAAACCCTCGACGTCCGCAATCCTTGCCTGCTACTTTAATTATTAATCCTGCTACTTCAAAACCTAGTGACATCCCTGTAAAGAAGTAAAACATGTGAAAATGGCAGACAGTTTTTCATGGCTTTTGATTGTCTCTACAAAGGTTTGACGGAAAAAAAGATATACTGTTTTAATATTTTCATGCAAATTCTGATAAAAAAAAAAGAATTTGCCTACCTACCTACCCACACCCAGTCATCATGGGTCGGGTTTGGACAATGAAATATTTTTAATTGTGGCCCCAACATAGTCATTAATCACCTTTCATTTTTTTTGGTGGTTTTTACAATGACAGAAATTGCATGAAAACAAATCAAAGTAATATGCTGGCTATAGAAATTTGAGAAAGCTGATTCATTGGGATTTCCCCAAAGTTTTAAAGAGGAACTTATGTGCCATTGTAGCCACCTAATATTCCACCCAATCATTTCATTGTGATAATTTTGTATAGTGCAACCTTATTATAAGAACAGGAAAAAATAACCTTCAGAGGAACAGACCCTCAGTTTTAAATTATTGGAACCTTTAGTTTAATATTTTTGTCGAGCCTTCGACTTATGTCGAAAAAGCGAGACATAGCAATCCTACATTCCGTCGGCGTCGTCGTCGTTGGCGGCGTCCACAAATATTCACTCTGTGGTTAAAGTTTTTGAAATTTTAATAACTTTCTTAAACTATCCTGGATTTCTACCAAACTTGGACAGAAGCTTCTTTATGATCATAAGATAGTATCCAGAAGTTAATTTTGTAAAAAATAAATCCATTTTTTCCGTATTTTACTTATAAATGGACTTAGTTTTTCTGCCGGGAAATATTACATTCACTTTGTGGTTAAAGTTTTTAAAATTTTAATAACTTTCTTAAACTATCCTGGGTTTGTACCAAACTTGGACAGAAGCTTGTTTATGATCATAAGATAGTATCTAGAAGTAAATTTTGTAAAAAAATAAATCCATTTTTTCCTTATTTATCTTTTAAATGGACTTAGATTTTCTGCCAGGAAACAACACATTCACTCTGTGGTTAAAGTTTTTAAAATTTTAATAACTTTCCTATACTATTTTGGATTTGTACCAAACTTGGACAGAAGCTTGTTTATGATCAAAAGCTAGTATCTAGAAGGAAATTTTGTAAAAAAAATAAATCCATTTTTTCCGTATTTTACTTTTAAATGGACTTAGATTTTCTGCCAGGAAACAACATATTCACTCTGTGGTTAAAGTTTTTAAAATTTTAATAACTTTCTTATACTATTTTGGATTTGTACCAACCTGGACAGAAGCTTGTTTATGATCAAATGCTAGTATCTGGAAGGAAATTTTGTTTTCTTCCAGTTAACATTACATTCAGTCTGCAGTTAAAGTTTTTAAACATTTATTAGATTCATAAACTATCCTGGATTTTTACCAAACTTGGACAGAAGCTTCTTTCAATCAAAAGATAGTATCAAGAGGAATATTTTTATTGATTAACTTCCTCATTTTTGTTGAGCCTGCGATGAACAGAAAAAGTAGGCGAGACACTGGCTTCCGCGGAACCCTTAAGAATTTTTTAAAATATACATTCATTTTATGCAGGTTCTATTGTCTAGTTTATCTGTTTTTGACAATTTTGTGAAAAATTTACTAAAATCATCATGACTATTTCCAAACAGACTTGACCAGAATTTTGCATAAAAGTCTGCTTAGAAGTTGTACTATTATAGACATAAAATATGGTTTTGCATAATTTTCCCCCGTATAAAGAAATATTTCATTTTTTATGTCCCTGCCACTAGGCAGGGGTGGCATTAAGTGTTACCTTGACCCTCCGAATTTCAGCAGTGAGTGGCTTACCATCCTAGAGTAATGCCCCTTTAGAACTTGGAAAATTGCATATTTTTTCGTTTTCGCACTCTAACTTAAGTTTGCCTCGTGCTAATTTGATGAAACTCACACATATTTCTAAGAACTACAACACGCAGACAGAATTTAAATTTGGGCAGTGAGTCATTTACTGTTATAGAGTTATGCCCCTTTTTAGCTTGGAAAATTGTAAAAGCTTGAGTGGGGGCATTTGTGTCCTCAGACACATTCTTCTTTTATTAACTGGTCTTTTTGACCTGAGTATTTTTTATAAAAGAAATAAAAGATATAATGAGTCATATTTCATTTAGAGACTGTGACAAATGATAGTGAACAAATAATTTGCTAAACTTTAGACATATTCATTTAAAATCAAAATTTGAACTTTAAGCCACTTTGCTTAACATTTTTATTGAATGATACAAACAAATTAGTATTTAATTTTATGTCATTAAAGAATATTACCATAATCTCAATGAGACAACGCTGATGATAATTACGCAAAGTGTTAGGAAGGTTGTACTATACTTTTGAGAAGTCATAGCTATTCATAGCTTAGTTTACCCATGTGTTTACATCACATAAATATGGAAATTATTTGTTTATGAAACAAATAAAGACACAAAATATGAATAGTAGATATTTATTCACATAAATATAACAGTACATTTAATTTATTTTGATAAACAAATGATTGAAAAGCAGAAAACAAATAAAGATATTTATTCACATAAATATAATGGTACGTTTGATTTATTTTAATAAATAAAGGATTGAAAAGCAGAAAACAAATATGAGCATTACATAACCAGCTGATAATTTTTTACACAAACATTGTGGTGAAAAATAAATGAAGAAATCATCCTAACCCTTTTATATAGCTCTGATCATGGCTAGTAACATCTCAAGATTAGGTCAATCTCATTTATTATATAAACTTCAATGAATATATGTCGAATTGAATACTGGGAAATTGGAGATTTTTTGCTGATATTTAGAGAACCGATTTGCCAGAGTTTACTGTACCTGT